ATGACTATGGAGAATTTAGGCTACATGATACTTGTTTTTTGATTAAAAGATAGCACACCTGTTTTATATACAGTAATTCCCTCTAAGATCATAGGGGAACCATAAATTTTGTGGCATCACCAGGTTTAATTCTTTTGTAACCTATATCGATTAAGGACATGAAGGTTTCCCAGTTGAGGCATTTCAACAGAGTTTTAAATTAATTCACAGGCCATTTTGCAGAAGCATAAAACCCAATTGGCACCCACTTATCTAGTTTTATATGTTATTTAGTAACCCTTCAGATTCCCAATCAGGTCAAATTGTAAAACTTTTTCTCTTGGGTAGGACCTCCTTTAAGACCAGTGGGTGAATGCCGGTGTACCCTATTTATATTTATAAATGTATTCCTCCAGAAAGGATAAAACCAACATTGTCATTGTTGCACGTCTCCTACAAGGTAATAGTTGTGTTGTGGGGTTTAAGAATTCTAGGTTTGGCTGGGCACCGTGGCTCACGCCGGTAATCCCAGCACTTTGGGAGGCCAAGGTGGGTGGATCACGAGGTCAGGAGATCGAGACCATCCTGGTTAACACGGTGAAACCCCGTCTCTAAAAAAATACAACAAAATTAGCTGGGCGTGGTGGCGGGCACCTGTAGACTCAGCTACTCAGGAGGCTGAGGCGAGAGAATGGCGTGAACCCAGGAGGTGGAGGTTGCAGTGAGCCAAGATCGCGCTACTGCACTCCAGCCTGGCAACAGAGCGAGACTCCATCTCAGGAAAAAAAAAATAGTAATAATAATTCTAGGTTTATGTTTGAATTAACTCCTTTGCTGTGTCATATGGGTGCCACGGTTGTTTCTCCCCAAAGCAGGCTCACTGTGTACTGTTATCAGCTTGTCTGAGGATGAGGAGAGAGAACACATTCATGCACATATTACATAAGTTGATTTATTATTTATAAAGGCATCAAAGAAGATGAGAAGTCTAAAATTCGATGTGGTGTGGTCCCCTAAGGTTCAGAGAAATTGCCTGGAAGGATGGAATTTTGGTTCCATGTGCCCCACTTGCAACACAGTTAAGAGACTCCAGAAAATAGCCTAGCCCAGGTTTTACAGCCCAGGATCACCTGACTCACTGAGCAAAGTGTTGAGACATTGTATTTCCCGTGAAGACTGTCAGTCTGGGCTGTTCTACCATTCTCTCCCGATTTCAGTAATGCTGCATTCCCAGCACATTCTACACTTATTCTTGAGAACTGCAAGTAAGAAAGAGGGTAGAACTGGGCCAGTCCAATACCACTTGGAGGATAGTTCTCAATCCTTAACAGTGAGGGATCAGGATATTTGTTGCGATAGAAACATAGGCGGCAGCAGTACAGAAATTTCAGTGTCCTAGTGGCCCATCTGCTATTAGGTTTCTGGACCAGAGCATGACACATGACTGCTTTTCTCTTCTATGAAAACTGCTTCAGACGACCTTTTAATTCTCATGCAAAGGAGCAGCATTTGATTTATCGTTAGTGTGGGCAATCTGTGTGGTTAAAGAAAACAGTTCAGGAGTCCATCAACCGACACTGAAGACCACCAAATCCTCCAGTGAGTGCCATTCAATCTTGCTGGTGTTAGCAACATACAGTAAGGTCATTTTGACTAAGGCCATCTAGGTTGCAAGGTTAGGCCTTTGGCATGCTGATCAGTAGTGCTAAAAGAAGCCCATACACTAGATGGAGGTTCTGCAATGAAAGAGGCTAATGCCAAATGCTGCTTCCCCTTTTCTTGACTCATCAGTGCCTGGACCATGAGGCACCATGGATGTGCACCTCATCAGAAGAATGCACATAAAAGCAGCAGCACAAGAAACACTCAAGGCCACTAGTCTTGCACAAGTCATCTTGTTAGACAATTAGGTGACATGCTTAATTCTCCCCAGCATGGGGACATTCCTCCTTTCTGCAACTTCACACACACAAAAGCCCTGGCGCTGTCCCAAGTGTGCACAGTAATAATGTTCACATGACTACTCCAAGCATCCAGTGATGGTAACCAAACGAGATGCAGCTACCACAGAGCAATAGTCTGACTTTTGATAATCAGGAATGAAGAACCCAGTGGTGAAGGTGCTGGATCACTGCCTCAATGTGGGGTACCTTGGAAACTGCCTGCCAAACACAGGTCAAGGTGGAACATACATCCTGCTGGGGAATGGCCAGTTAACCAATCACATCTAGGAGTTGAGAGTTTTACTGTGGGACGAGGTGGCAAATGCTGATAATGCAAAGTGCTGTGTAGACCAAAGTGAAAGTCCACCATCAATTGCTGGTTCTAATTTGGGTGATTTCTGTTACATTATGGAACCAGTTAGACAAAAGCAGGTAGTTAAAGCTGAAAAGATATCATCAGTCATTGTTGGTTCATTCTGTTGGTAATGCCAGTTGTTTCCACAGTCTCATTGGTGACAGAAGAACTAGGACCCTAAGGCTACTGGGAAAAACACGTGACACCCATGACTGTACAGATAAGATTGAGAGCAGTTATCAGTTAGATATACTCATAGACAAAAGAGGGAGGGTACTGTCAATGAGGCTGATCCACACAGGACTTGCACTGGCGAGCAGACAGAACAAACAGGGTGTGAGGGGAATGCTTTGTAGTATCTAGAACATGAGATGCTTCTTGGTTCTCATGAGGATGCAACTGGTTTGCTTAAATGAATATGTGGAATGGTAGGCAACTGAAATATGTTAGACTACAGACTGGTAAGAACAAAACAGTATAATGCCATAATCCTGTAATATACAATTTGTTGTAGTGCTAATTACATATAATATAAACTAGTTATGCAAAATTCATACTAACTTACAAAACTCTACTATACTACATATTACATAGCTATTTATACACATATAAGTATACATGTAGACATTCTATATATACTACATGATGCTATACTATATGGTATACTAGGGCACACCAATTTGACTATAAATCCAAAAGGCCCCAACAATACACTAGAAAATTGAATGTATCAACATGGATTGAGTGTTTCTTATCTGAAATACTTGGGAAGGGAAGTGCTTTGGATTTCAGACTTTAAAAATTTTTGGAATATTTGCAGAAAACTTTCTGGATGAGCATCCCTAATCCAAAAATCAAAATCCTCTAATGAGCATTTCTGTTGAGCATAAGGCTGGTGCTCAGTTTTTGACTTTGGAGCATTTCAGATTTGGTAGTTGGAATCTGGGCTTTACAGACGTTCAACCTGTAGATCAAATACTTATATTCCATGATGAAGACAGATTTCACCCCAATGACCATATTTGTATCTGAAAGCCAGTTAATGTGATAGACTATTAATACAATGCCAAAAACCATAAATCATCTCAATAGATGCAGAAAAAAACATGTGATAAGAGTTCAATACTCCTTGACCATGAAACAATAAATAAAAAACACAAGAAAACTTCCTGAGCCTGTTTGAGAATATTTCTGAAAAATCCACAGTATGCTTGATGGTAAGACTGAATGCTTTCACACTCAGATTAGACAAGCATACTGTCCAATCACAGTTCTCTCTTCTTAATTCAAAGTAAAAAGTAGGCCTCATGTCAGTACCCCCAACATGTGGAGAGGCTGAGGCAGAAGGACAGCTTGAGGCCAGGAATTCAAGACCAGCCTAGACAATACAGCGAGATCCCATCTCTGTAAACAATTTTAAAAATTATATAATTAGCTGGGCATGGTGACATGTGTCTGTAGCTCCAGCTACATAGGAGGCTAAGGTGGGAGAATCACTGGAGCCCAGGAGTTTGCAGCTGCAGTGAGCTATGACTATACCACTACACTTCAGCTTGGCTGACAGAGTGAGATCCTCTCTAAAAATATAACATTTTTTAAAAAGTGAACTATGCAAATAACAGCCAATAATGACAAAGAATAAAGGAAAGAAAATGAAAATAATACTGTACATGAGACTATATAAACTTCACATACACGCAAATTAATAACAATTTTTTATTAGCAAAGAAAATAGAAGAAAATCTTTACAACAAAAAAGTAGCTTTCCCATAAAAAGGTAGAATAAATATATAGATACATATACACACACACACATATATAAAATGGGGGAGGAATAACCAAAACTTGCCACATAAGATCAGTAAGAAATTTCCAACAATTAACAAGAACTCATTTTTCAATGGTCCATTAATCAGAGAACAATTAAAACCACCACATGGAAATTAAAATTGCCAACTATTAGAAATACATTTCAACTCAGTCTAGGGATCCAATACATTTTTAAATGAATAGACAAAAATTATGTTAACTGATGAGAAACAAAACAAAACACAGCCTATTAAGCTCATGTACGATGGCTTATAAAGTATCTATGAAATTGTCAGCTCCATGATTCCTTGCAAAAAATTGAAAATCTAAAGTATAGACACCTTCTTTAACAATGAATCACTGATAAAAATATATTTGTAAGTGACTGGGAAAATGAAGTGCTTTAACACATTTTTGGTATTTTATGAGGTTTTTTCCCAGGATGGGTTCTTCTAAGTTTTAGAAGGGAACTAGGAAAATTGCAACATTCTAATCTTCCTTACATGTGTTGGATTTCTCTCTAGTGTGAGTTTTTAATTTTTTTAAAATTAAAAACTCTGTTGCCCAGGCTGGAGTGCAGTGAGTGGCACGATCTCGGCTCACAGAAACTTCTGCCTCCCTGATTCAAGTGATTCTCCTGCCTTAGCCTCCTGAGTAGCTGGGACTACAGGCGCATGTCACCACGCCCGGCTAAGTTTTGTATTTTTAGTAGAGATGGGGTTTCATCATGTTGGTCAGGCTGATCTCGAACTCCTGACCTCGTGATGTGCCCGCCTCAGCCTCCCAAAGTGCTGGGATTACAGGCGTGAGCCACTGCGCCCAGCCTGAGTTTTTAATTTTTTCACGTGCTCTAATGAAACTAGAGTAACTGAAAGCTTTAACACACTTCTTACATTCACAGAGGTGTTTTATTGTTTTTTTTTTTTTTACCACATATAAGCTCTTTCATGCTTTCGAAGGGAACTGGAACAACTGAAGGCTTTACCACATTTCTTACATTCATAGGGTTTTTCTCCAGTATGAGTCCTTTCATGGCTTCGAAGGGCGCTGGAAGAAGTAAACGACTTACCACATTCCTTACATCCATAAGGTTTCACTCCAGTGTGAGTTCTTTCATGCTCGCATAGGTTACTAGAATATTTGAAGGCTTTACCACATTGTTTACATTCATAGGGCTTTTCTCCACTGTGAGTCCTTTCATGGACTCTGAGGACTCTGGAACATCTAAAGGCTTTGCCACATTTTATACATTCATAGGGTTTTTCTCCAGTATGCGTTCTTTCATGTATTCCCAAGTAAGTGGAACGACTGAAGGCTTTGCCACATTCTTTACATTCATAGGGTTTCTCTCCAGTGTGAGATCTTTCGTGTTGGCGAAGAGAACTGGAAAAAGTGAATGATTTACCACATTTCTTACATGCATAGGGTTTCTCTCCAGTATGAGTTCTTTCATGTTCACGAAGATAACTTGAATAATTGAAGGCTTTATCACAATGTTTACATTTGTATGTTTTCTCTCCGGTGTGAGTGCTCTGAGGCATTTGAAATACACTAGGAAAATCGAAAGGCTTCTCATACACTGGACCCTTATAAGGCCCATTACTAGTGTGTGTTACCATGTGTCTGTCAACACTGGTAAGAGAGATAAAGGCTTTCCCACATTGTTTGCATTGATATAACTTCTCTGGACATTCCTCACACTCAAATAGTTTGTTTCCAGTGTGAGACAGGATGTGCCTATGAAGGGCTGAATGACATATGAAGACTTTTCCACACACACTGCATTCACATGGTTTTACTCCAGTAGAAACTTTCTTATTCAGATTCAAATTTGAATCCTGGCTGAAGGTTTCTCCATATTGACTGCCTTCTTTAATTTCAAACAATCTCTCTACCACATGACTGCTGTAAAAATGATAAACACATCATTAATGGTACATTTATTCATGGTTTACATTGCTACTAACACCAGGGAAAATGCAAGTTTCCTGCCATGTCTAAATTGTTTTAAAGTAAATAAATTAATTACTGTTTAAGACATGGGCCCCCCATAGCTATTATCATTATTATCACAACTGTGATAGTCACATGTACAGTATTTTAGTGGTATTTCCAAGTAAAATATTCTGAAAATACTGAACATCCATGTTACATTCAGGTGTGTTTTTTGCTAAGACTTTTCTGGAAAAAAAACAAAAACAAAAAACAAAAACAAAAAACAAAAAAACAAAATTTCTAGTGGTTCTTATTTGTTTTGTCTGTTTATTATTATTATTATCATTATTATTATTATTATTTTTGAGATGGCCTCTTGCTCTTGCTCTGTTGCCCAGGCTGGAGTGCAATGGCGTGATCTCAGCTCACTGCAACCTCTGTCTCCCGACTCCAAGCAATTCTCCTGCCTCAGCCTCCTAAGTAGCTGGAATTACAGGCACGCACCACCACACCCAGCTAATTTTTGTATTTTTAGTAGAGACGGGGTTTCATCATATTGGTTAGGCTGGTCTCGACTTACTCCTGACCTCACAATCCACCCGCCTCAGCCTCCCAAAGTGCTGGGATTACAGGCGTGAGCCACCGCACCCAGCTGTTTTGTCTGTTTTAAAAACTTATGACATGCTAAGATTCCCTCAAGGGGCATTTTTTGCTCTTGTGAATGCAAATTACCTTAGATTTCTCCCAGGATTTTTGAAGTCATCTTGGATATTCTGGTCTTCTGATTTGTTTCCTAAAATGTACATCCATAAGATTATTACAAATGATTAGAAACTTGAAAAATTGCTAGATTCAAAGTTCACTATACACTGTGACCATGTCTAATTTTTTTCACCAAAGTATTCCCTTTCCACATGCCAAATCAGGAAACATTCATGACAAAGAAACACTTGTTTTTTCTTTTCTTTCTTTCTTTTTTTTCTTTTTTTTTTTTTGAGATAGAGTCTTTCTTTGTTGGCCCAGTTGGAATGCAGTGGCTCAATCTCGGCTCACTGCAACCTCCACTTCCCGGGTTCCAGCAATTAACTTATCTCAGCCTTCTAAGTAGATGGGATTACAGGTGCTTGCTACCACGCCTGCTAATTTTTGTATTTTTTTAGTAGAGATGGGGTTTCGCCATGTTGGCCAGGCTGGTCTCCAACTCCCGACCTCAGGTGATCCACCTACCTTGGCCTCCCAAAGTGCTGGGATTACAGGTGTGAGCCACCGCGCCCAGCCAAAACACTTGTTTTCTAATCAACTACATGAAAAAGTGTTGTTATTCTTACCTATGGAAGCCAGGTTCCTAAAGATTTCTTGCATCACATCTCTGTAGAGATTCTTTTGAGAAGGATCCAGCAAAGCCCACTCCTCCTGGGTAAAGGCCACAGCCACATCTTCAAATGACACTGAATCCTAGAATATCACACATATGCGGAGAGAAGGATGGCTTAGACAGACATGAAGAATCTATATTCATCTCATAAAATCATAACATAATTCTGCAGACTTCAAACATTTCTTCCATGACTTGGTCATCAGAACTTTACTCTCTGTCTGCACTTACTGCTTCCCACTCAACATTCTTCATGCTAAAATGAACTATTCAGAAAGTCAACAGCATAGTAGGAACACCTTTCTCATTGGCAGGTGGAGGGAATAAACTGTGCTGTAAGAAATGAGGTCACCCCTAATTTCTATGTGTAGATTTTATCTTGAGGGCCTCTTACAAAAAAGTCATGCTATCTGTTGCGTATAACAGTTAGTGTTAAGTCTTAAGACTACATATCCTTAGAAATACCTGCTCACAAAGTGAGTGTGAGAAAATAAGATTTTTTTGAGGGATCTCATCACCCTATGTGAACAATATGTAAACAATCTTATGCAAACAATATATTTATTATTCGCTGAACTCTGGCTTTGTTTTGTTTCTGAAAGCCTACTACTTCACTCCATTCTTGCAGTGGTACCTAGGGTATCAGCTCTGGAAAACACTCTGGGCATTAAGTCTCTAACGAGCATTCTTGGTAAACAATATTTCTCATATGCTGTTATAACTTGTTAATTGGAGAAATGAGGCATCAACGTGATTATAATAAGAAAATATTTGGGCTGGGAGCGGTGGCTCACGCCTGTAATCCCAGCACTTTGGGAGGCCGAAGCGGGCAGATCACGAGGTCAGGAGATCCAGACCATCCTGGCTAACACGGTGAAACCCCGTCTCTACTAAAAATACAAAAAAAATTAGCCGGGCGAGGTGGAGGCGCCTATGGTCCCAGCTACTCGGGAGGCTGAGGCAGAAGAATGGCGTGAACCTGGGAGGTGGAGCCTGCAGTGAGCTGAGATCGCGCCACTGCACTCCAGCCTGGGAGACAGGGGGAGACTCCATCTCCAAAAAAAAAAAAAAAAGAAAATATTTGGAAGCTTGCAAGTAGTTTACTCCAGACCAAATTAAATCTAGTTGTAAATAAGACTGATAATTTATCTTTAATAACACAAAACAATTTTAAAATTTCTATCAGATAACAACAAAGTGCAATGGAGTAAGCAGAAAGATAGTACATGTGCTTAGAAGAAACTCAATGTCATCAAGATATCACCTCTTTCAAATGGCCTTAAAAAATTCCATCAATCCTCAAAACAGACACTTTATTAGCAACTGAAAACTACTTTTCCAAACCTAATAAAAAAAAAAGTCTAAGAATTGTTAAAGTCTTCCAAACAATAGGGCAATGGCTTCCTCACCATGTATCAGAAATTTTCAAACTATAATATTCAGGACGGCATAGCATTAACATGGAGATAAACAAATAGTCCAAAAAGGAAAAAAGTTTTACATAAGCAGAAATTTTATATGTAAAGTTTACTGATGATAGAGCATTCCAGAACAGTGGAAGAAATCAAAAGCACTTTAGAGCAAACTGGTACTAACTGAAAAAGTACACTGCATTCCCCTCCATTCCATGAACAATAATCAATTTCTTTATTTCAAACGTGAAAGACAAAACTAAAATACTTGCAGACTTCAAAGGAAAATAGGAGTATTTTTGGACAGAAAAATGGGCGGAATTCATTTAAATAGAAAAAAAAAAGGAACTGACAAATTCAGATATATTAATACTCAGGAAATTAAAAGGCAAAAAGCAGTGGGAAAAAACTGTAATACATGCAATATAAAAGAATTAGTATGAAGTGTAAAAATGAACATGATTTAAAAATGAGAAAATAAGCAAAGCATACTTAAAAGAAGATGAAAGACCATCTATTTTTTAAAAACTCAACTTCCTTGGTAATGAGAAAATAGAAAATAGGTGCCTGACATTTGAAATTGACTAGAAGAAGAAATCAACTCCATGTGAGGAGGGCCATGGCAAATGGGTTACTCAGGAAGAAAGGAGGAGTCAACTGATACTCTCCGCTGCTCTAATTTGAATTTACCACAATGTGTAGCCCATTAATTTTTCTAAAATGTCCAGAGAATTTACTGTGCATCTGCACTTGGAAATGTGGCATAAAATTATAGGAGCATTATTTTTCCAAAAAAAGCAAAAAAACAAAAAAACGTGAAAAAGCCCTAACATCAGAATCATTAGAATGCACGGCTGAATTCAATGGTCCACAGCCTCAGGCACTAGCATGTGTGCAACATAATGACACAAGGAAATCACCAAATAAACCTTTTTGTTTTAATTCCATTCATACTCATTTACAGAAAGTTCCAGTAAAGCAAAATGGAACTGAAAAATTACAGATGATAAAAATGCAAAAAAACAGCCAAAGATTCACAACAGTGGTGAACTAAGAGACAAGTCCAGGTGAAACTATCAGAAAACTCCTAAGGACTGTACGGGGCCCAGTGAAGAATCAAAGTTGCTTCAACTATTATAACTAAAACTCCTGACAAATATTTTACTCATTCTTACCGTATTTCATAACAGAAAACTTCAAAATTAATTAAAGTTTAAAAGAGCGCAATTTTTCTGTTTCTTTGCCTTATAACATGGTGATCTGAGTGGTGATTTACAGATTTCACAGAAATCAGTAAATCGAGCGGCACAGCTCACAGTGCTAGCTGCTTAGTGAGCAGCTCGAGTACATACCAGATCCCAGGCGGCAGAGCCGATGAGCAAGTCATTGCAAGAGAAGACAGAACCACGCGGTGGTGGGCAATGTCTGAACATTCCGCTAGTGGTACTAAGTGCGATGGTCAAGTGCAGCGATGTGTTTGGAGAGGGGAGGAAATTATTACTCAGAAAATTGACCCTTGTGGATCCATCAGGTCAGGCCTTTCAAGGTGGTTTGATATGGTTTGAATGAGGTAAAAAAGGAGCCAGGCCTGTGTTTTCTGTTGAGAGTAGGTGGAAAGCTAGGGTGAGAATTCAGTTTCAAGGTAAAAGATTTACATAGTTTCAATCTGCTGCCAAAACCCAGAGAGAGCACCCAGGCTTGTTTTCACCATATCCTGATGTGAGGTCAGAACAAGAACAAAGAAAGTTTAGGATTAAAAGTTGACAGCAGTCAATTAAAAGAAAAAAACGGAGACAGACACTTCTGATTTTCAGTCGAGCAAGTAGGCATAAAAGGCAATGGTCAAGCTTCCTGGGTTGAGTTCTGAGCTCCACGAAAATGTCTGACCCCACCAAGCTGCCTAAGCTATTTAAACGTTATTACCAGAGGCTCTTTCCCTATTCTCTGTACTGTAACTGGCTCAACTACAGCAGCGTGGTGAAGAATTACTCCCAACGCTATGGATTTCATTCACATTGAAAGATGACATTTACATTCGATACCAATCCTTCAACAACCAGAGTGATCTAGAAAAGGAGATGCAGAAAATGAATCCATACAAGATTGATACAGGCACAGTATATTCCCACAGACCCAATCAACACAATACAGTGAATCTGGGAGCTTTCCAGGCTCAGGAAAAAGAACTGGTGTTTGACACTGACATGACAGACTATGACAATGTGAGGAGATGCTGTAGTTCTGCAGATACATGTTCTAAGTGTTGTATCCTCATGACAACGGCCATATGCATCACTGACACAGCACTGAGGGAGGACTTTGGATTTAAGCATCGTCTCTGGGTATATTCTAGAAGTAGGGGGGTATATTGTTGGGTCTGTGATAAATCAGAAAACTGTCTTCGGTGGTACATTCTGGGATAGTTGAGTATTTGAGCCTTGTAAAGCATGGTCAAGATGTTAAAAAGAAAGTTCAACTAACTGAAAAAATTCACCCTTTTGTCAGAAAATCTATAAACATAATAATAAAAACTTTGAAGACTATGCCTTCGTTAATCAAGATATTCTCAAAAACAACAAAAGCTGGGATAAGATTTTAGCCCTTGTTCCTCAAACAATTCAGGTTGAACTTCAACAAAGCTTCCAAAAGTCTCACAATTCACTTCAGCACTGGGTGCACCAGCAGATGTCAGAACAACATCCAAACTGAAAATGTGGACCTGGCTGGAGTGGGAGATTATGCTCCAGGACTGTTTCCACGACGGGGTATCAATGTCAGCAAAGAAATCAATCATTTACCGAAGAGCCCTTTTAGTGTTCATCCTAAAACAGGTCACATTTCTGTGCCTACTGATTTGCAGAAAGTGGATCGCTTTGATCCACTTACTGTTCTAACCATAAACCTCATCTGCCATGAACTGGATGCCTCTTCCACTAATGAAGAGAAAAAAGGAGAATTAAGCTGAATCAGATATTAAATATAGAACCAGAGATTGTAAGACCAGTCTAGTACCTTATGTGAAAGTTTTTGAACAATTTCTTGAAAACCTGGGTAAACCCTGAAAAAGAGAACTTCTTAAGAAGAGTGATTTACAAAAAGATTTCGGAAGACAATGCTCCTCAAACCAATGTGGGTATCTTCTGCCTTCAACCAAGGATCAAATGCTCCAAGAGTCATTTAACAAATACAGCAGAACTACGTATGTGTCTTAATGCTCAAAGTAAATTTTCCTTTGCTTGAGAAATAATTTATGTTGAAAAGATTTCCTGAGACCACCAAAGGGAAGTGTCAAGGTTCATGGAAGGAGCAATAAAAGGAGAAATAATTGGGGGGGAAAAAAAAAACCCCAAAAACCAAAGGCAACATTCGGGCTATTAAAGAGTCTTTAACAGATAGTGGTGAGGTAGCGCAGAAAATGGAGCACCTACACACTGCTGATGGGAATGCAAATTAGTTCAGCCATTGTGAAAAGCAGTTTGAAGGTTTCTCAAAAAACTTAAAACAGAACTACCATTTGACCCATCAATCCCATTACTGGATACAGACCCAAAGGAATATAAGTTGTTCTACCAAGAAGACACATGCACCGGTATGTCCATCACAGCACTATTCACAATGTCAAAGACACACAATCAATCTAAACGCCCATCAACAGTAGACTGGATTTT